GGGGGGGGGGCACCCCCTGGGCAGCGGGTGCAGAGGCAGGCGGGGGGGACTCGAGGCGGCGCTCTGACTCCTTTTATATGATGCACCTCCCCCTCCTGCAGGAGGAGGAGGAGGAGGGTAAGAGGGAGGAGGAGAGGAAGGGGAAGGGGGATGACGAGGATGGTGAGGAGGAGGAGGAGGAGGAAAAGGAGAACGACCAGTGCAAACCCTAGACTCATCAACGATGTTGGAATCGACCCTCCCCATAAGCTCCCTCGTCATTGGCCCACACACCCAGTCATGTCCACTGAGGTAAGTGCGCCGATGGGATACAATAATTTGAAGATCCTGGGGCGTGCCAAACATCATTTCCATGACTTCAACGCCACGATTCAGCCTGACTGTTGCGTCTTGACGATCCTTGACCGTGCCAACACACCTTACCTGGACTTCAACGCCGCGAATCAACGTAACTATTGCGCTCTGTCAATGTCAATCCAGAATCGTTGCAGAACAATGTTTCTGGTGCGTTAGCCATGACAACTGGCAAAATTTCTTGCAAATGTTTGAAAAGAGTGTGTGCCGCGCTCAGGCGAGAGCCACACTTGAAACATCACCTGTACTCAATCCGTGCATGTCTTGGACATGGCGCTCAGGCGAGAGCCACATTTTGACATCGAGCCGCCCTCAATCTGCGAAACTCTTGCAATCATAGAAGCGAGTGTGCGCGGCGTTAAGGCGCGAGCCACATTTTGAAACAAAAACGAGCCGCCCTCAATCCGTGAAGATCTTGCAAGTGTTTGAAACGAATGCGCGCGGCGCTCAGGCGATAGCACCATTCTGAACATCAGGTGCCCTCAATCCGTGAAGCTCTTGCACATGTTTGAAACGACTACGCGCTGCGCTAAGGCGAGAGCAACATCTTGGAAAGGACGCGCCCGCCATCTATGAACTTGCTGCCATGTGTTAAGCTTGATGTTCATAAATAGTAAGGCGGTCTCAGGCGAAACTCCCGGCCCCCTTTCCGATTGGCCTCGGGGTGCGACAGGAGGGTGATGTTGATGAGGAAAAGTGGTATGAAAGGTGGGAGGAATGGGAGGATGAGGCGGGGTAGGACGAACCAGTGCAAGAGGAAGAGAAGGCGGATGCAGAGGACAGGGAGGCTGGGCTATTACTTCCCTTCTCGCTCAACTCGAAATGGCTGGTCCGCACCGCGGAAAGAAGGTCTCCCTTTCCCGTCCCCTTTGGCGGGCTGCGACAGTTGCGACACAGCTCAGGGGTCAGGACGAGGGCAGCCTCTGGCGAGCGACGGCGCGCGCGCTCGGCTGCCCACGAGAAGGCCCTGACCTGGGGCGCCCGCCCGTTCAGCACCCTGGTGCTGGAGGGCCTCGTGAGCACGGAGCTGGCCGCCTCCTCCTCCTCCTCCTCCTCCTCCTCCTCCTCCTCCTCCTCCTCGTCCTCCTCCTCCTCCTCCTCCTCCTCCTCCCATTCCTCCTCCTCCTCCTCCTCCTCCTCCTCCTCCTCCTCCTCCCTCCCCGTCTGTCGGCTCCCCTGGCCGTGGCTCTCCGCCGCAGCGCGGTGATGGCCGGCCCTGACGTGCACGCCTCCCTCGCCGCCTCGTTCCCGCCGGGTGCCTTCTGCCAGAAGGGCCGCCCGCCCCGCCTCCGACGCCCCACGCCTCCCACATTCTTCGGCTCCACGAGCGCCTGGACGTGTGGTTCTGCGTCTGCTGCGGGTGCTTCGTGGCCGCTGCGGGCCGCATGGTGGGCCTGGGCCTTCGGGCCAGGTGCCTAGGCCGCCCTTCGCGGGCTGGCCGTGACTGCCTCCAGCGGCTGGCTCGAGGCCTGTGGCCGAAGGCCAGCGGACGGCGCAGGTTCGTGAGGAAGGAGGCCGAGCTGGTGGTCGGCCCGAGGCTGCATGCCCTTCGGCGCCGCGCTGTTCGAGCAGCTGCTGCACGTGCCGCAGGCCGCCGAGGTGGCCAGGTTCCCCCTGCGCTGGGCACGGAGGCCGACGGCGCGCTGGACGAGGTGGCCCACCTCGCGCTGGACGACTCGATCGGGGACGCGCTGGGCGACTCGGTCCTCGTGGCGGCAGACCTGGAGGGGCCAGTCCCGATGGGAGCGGCCCCTCCAGGTCCTACGACTGGTCCAGACAGTTGCCCGCATCCTGTGATAAATTGCGGGATGGGAGAGCTCGAGAGGGGGGCGAGGAGCGCCACGGGCGCTGAGTCTTCCTCGCCTCCCCGCGGCCTCCCAGTGGACGCGACCTTCCCCGACAAGGTCGCCTTCCTCCTCAGCGCCGCCCGCGGCGACGCCTTCTCGGACGTGGTGGTCGAGGGCGCGCTGGACCTGAAGCGGCGGCGCCTCGCGGCGGCCGCCAGCGACGACGCCCTCTCGGACGTGGTGGTCGAGGACGCCCTGGCCGTGAAGCGGCAGCGCCGAGCGGCGGCCGCAGCGCCCGCGGGCCGTGGCCCTCCGCGCCCCAGCAGCTGGCCACCGGTGGCCACCCGCGGGGCGCCCGCGGGCGGCCCGCCCGCCAAGCGGGCGCGGGCCAGCGCCGCGCCGCGCCTGCCCCGCGCCTCGCGAGCCGCCGAGGGCGGCGACCGCTGAGCGCGAGGCGCGGCGTGCGTGGCGCGCGGCGCCGCGGGCGGGGCGCGTCGGCCCGACTGACGCGTTCCCTACCGCCTCACCCTCACCCCCTCACCCTCCTCCCTCCTCCTCCTCCTCCCCCTCCTCCCCCCCTCCCCCTCCTCCTCCCTCCTCCTCCTCCTCCTCCTCCTCCTCCTCCCCTCCTCCTCCTCCTCCTCCTCCTCCTCCTCCTCCTCCTCGTCCCAATGGCTCTCGCTGTGAGTTCGGGGCCACGGCCGCGGCCGATAGCGATGCCGACCACGTCAGCGAGGGGGCGGCCATGTTCCTGCGCGGAGAGTGCCTGGCCGAGTTCCCCCAAACGAACGTCGGTGCGCGCCTCGTGCCTCTGCGGAAGCTTGACGGTGGGGTCGGGCCTGTGGCGTGCCGTCGTCGTTTCGGCGCACTGCAGGGGTTGCGCGCCACGCGTTTCGTGCGCAGTTTCTGCAGGCATGTGTCAGAGCGTTAATTACCTACCCCGCTTTCGCTTCCAGGCAAAACCAAGCCATACCATGCGCCTCCTCGTCAAGCGGCCTGACCAGTACAGGCTGCAATTTGGCATCGTTTGGTATCTCTTGGAAGCGAGGGTGGTCAAAAGCGAGGTAGGTTTGTTTCCCCCCTAATGTGGGCCGCACCAGTACGCGGTGGGACGACAGACCGGGTTTGAAAAAGTGCACAAGGCTCCTACCCACCCGCCCACGGATCTATTCTTGGCGCTTCGTGCCACGAGCGCGTTTCGCATATGCTTCGCCAGAGCTAAACCAGCTGGCGGCCGCGTGGCTAGGCATGTGAACCACGCATCTCCGGTTGGGCGTGTGCGGTTTGACCAAATCGGTGAGAGCCACGAGCGGGTTCGACCAGGGCTGCTTGCTCTCGCCAGCCCACTTCGCCTTGGGGCTCGCAGGGGCGTTGCCCAACATCGGGGCTCGACTGCGGGTCGCTGTTCCGACCCACTAGGTGTTTTCTTATCTAGATGGCGTGGTTGTGGTGGTGGTGGTTCCCGCGGCGCTCGGAGAGCCGGCGGCGACGACGGTGGTGGAGGAACTCACCCGGGCGGGACTCAGCATCAGCGGAAGTAAACCCGCAGCGTGGACCAGGGACCCGTCAGCGCAACTGTCGCCACGGTCCCAAGCCTTACCTGAACCCACTCTCCGCTGTCTGGGGGCCACTAGCCACCGCCGCGTGGGTGGAGCCAGAAGACCCGCTCGCGCGGCTCGCTGTCCACGAGCAGACTGACGTCGACGAGGCAGTGCACGCAGCAGAGGGGCTAGTCATTCGACTGCAAGCGCTACTGGGTGCTGGATTTGGGGCGCAAGAGTGTTTCAGGCTGCGCCAAGCCTACAGTCACGGATGCGTCACGCACCTGCTCCGCGCCGGTTAAGAGGACGAGGATTGGCTAGCCGGGCTCGACGGGACCTTCCTGCAGGCGGTCGGGGGCTTCTTCGACGACGCCCTCGACCACGATCAGCGGGCGCACTGTTTGCTTCGCTGGACTGACGGGGACCTATGGTCCGCCTCGGCCGCGCGGACGGCGGCTGCCGCCTGCTAGCTGGGTTGATTGGGCGCTTAGCCTTCACAGCACGTGCAACTGCTTTGGCGAGTCTACCTGGGCGCGGTTCAACGAACGCTGCCCCAGAGTGGCCCAGAGACCATGACCAGGGCAGAGGCCCCGCTTTATGCGCAGAGTTCGAGGTCGTTAGAGGCGCTCGATTGGACCGGCTGTCGGCGAACGGCTCCAGTGTATGCAAGGACCGAGATTCGCCTGCATCTGCTGGCTTCTATGAGCGTAGACGAGACGGTGGACTTTCGCCCATCTGGCGGTCCTGGGGCAGGGGGCTTCCTGGAACTGCCCGTCGTCTGGGCGGGCGTGAAACCAGCAGTTGTCGACGAGCAATTTCGCATGCCACTCGCGGACAGGCTGCGGTGGCAGCTGGGCCATTTGGCGCAACTTGCAGATTTCGCGAGGCCGACTGGTTCCTGTGTGCGGAGGCACTTGGCCGACGCTGGCGGTACGCCCTCGAGTGCTCGTGCGGCCTCTACTGCAGCAACAAGCGCAACGTCCTCAGAGACTTCTGCGCGGGGTGGCACCAACGGAAGTGGCTCGAGACGCTGAAGCGTTTCAGAAATTGGGCCCCAGGCCTCGAAGCCGACCCCCTGCTGGGGTTCGTTCGGGCCAGAGCCTCGAGGCGAGTCCAACCGTGGCGACGAGGGGCACCCCAGCAGTCCCAGGAAGGCCCCTCAAGCTCGAGTCCCGATGCTTCTTGAGACTTTTGCGTGGGTACGTGGTTCAGACGGAACAGCGGGTCGCTGCCAGAGGCAGGGTGAGACTCTGAGGGCCGGGCGCCGGGAGGAGGCGCGGCTCGACGTCGCCGCCCGCGGCGCGGTGTTTGGGCAGACCGTGTTTTTGTGATGGGCAACTTTTCCACCACCACTACAATATGTAGGACGGGGGAAAAGAGAGGATGAGGAGGTCCTCCTCCTCCTCCTCTTCCTCCTCGTCTTCCTCTTCCTCCTCCTCATATGGTAGTGGTGGTGCGAAATGAGCCCATCATCTTGGACATGAGCGTGACCTGCCTCAGCCGCCACCAGAGCGGAGGACGTTGGTCGGGGCCGATGCCCTCCAGACGACGGGTAGCGTGAAGTCGGCGTGTCCCTCTACAGGAGGAATCTTCAAACATAGTCGAAACATAGTACGGAGACGACTTTGGGACTATGTTGGAGTATCCTTGAGCATCTTTCGTGTATCTCTTAGCTTTCGTCAACCATCTGCCTGTAGTCAAGCAGTGGCGAAGCGTCCTGGCTCGCCTATAGCCCTACCAAACAATGTTCTAAGAACCTTTTGTGGTCTCCACGAAACGTTCTTAGAACAGGTCTGGCGGAGTCTGTCTTGTTTGGACACATCAGGTTTCTGTTCTAAGAACATCGTTTTGGTTCTTAGAACATTTTGGGGTTCTAAGAACATTTCGTGGTAGGACTATAGGAATGCCGGGACGGTCGGTCCCTGCTCAATGTAAGGGGGACGCGCCCGACCTAAGCGTAGCTCAGCCGCGCGGTCTTCGACGCTGGGGGGGGGGCGCCCGGGAGACGCCAACCGCAGCGTGCGTCCGCTCCCGGGGCAGCGACGTGGCCGCGACGAGTCGGGCAGAGGTCCTGCGCTGCGGCTGGCAACCGCCGTACAGAACACGCGGCTGCACTTGCGGAAGGGCTGCAGTACGTCAAAGTGACCTCCGACGGCTTTACGAGAACAGCCGGTGAGTGCTTGGGTGGATGCAGTATCACCGAGGACTACGTTGGCCAAGCGCGAGGGTATTTGCAAAACCAACTTGGACCAATGTACCACGGGCCTTCGTGTCTCCCATGGGCAAGGCCCCAGTGGGGGTGGTAGTATATATTGGCGGCAGAGAGGCGGTCACTCCCTGCCAGGACCGCCCTGGCAGGACAGATACGGCGCCGCCGACGGGGACACTGCGCGCGGCAGCACCAGAGCGCCACTAGCCGCCCCGCAGCGGCCGCGACGCTTGTGGCCTGCACCAGCAGCTCGGCGAGTAGCGGGGTCGGCGCCTGGCCACCACCACTTGCAGAAGCGCCGGCGCCGCGAGCAGCCCACCGACAGCAACGACGACCACGACGACGACGACAGACAGACATTACCCGACCCCCACCCCGCACCCCCCGCCCTCGTTCTTGCCTTTCCTCTCGCACGGTTGCCCCTGCCTGCGATTGCCTCCCTCCTTTCCTGCTCCTCCTCCACCTCCTCCGCAGGGGTGCCCCTCGCTTGCGGCGGCCCCGCCACTGATTTGTTGATTTGCATAGTTCGTTTCACAAGTTTTTCTGATCCGAGGTGGGGTCCGAGCGAGACGCGTCTGCTGCGTGTTTCCTCCTGTTTCGAGGCTTGCGGTGGCGGAAGTAGCATGTGACTTGGTGGCGCCAGCCGCCTTTGCCCAACATCGTCGGTTGAGCGGCGCGGTGGTGTCGCGTCAATCGGCCGCCCCAAGCTGTCCCTGTCGAGGATCCTACTGCCACCAGCGTGCTTGCCTTTGGCGCCTTCTCCTTCCGCCCTGCAGATGGCGATGATGGTGGTGATGATGATGATGATGGTGATGTTGATTGAGGTGATGATTCTGATAATGATGATGACAATGATGAGTGTAATGAGGTTGGTTATTATGCTGTTTATAATGATGGCGATGTGCTTGCTGACGATGATGATGCTGACGCCAACGAGTATGACGATGATAATGATGCTGATAACGCTGATTAGTATGATGAGTATGAGGGTAATGATGACCATGATGATGTTACTGTCGATGGTGATGCTGCTGATGCTGATGCGTAATATTGTTATGTGATGATTGTGATGGTGATGGTGGTGGGGATGGGAGTACATGTTGGTGACGACTAGGGAGATGGGGATGATTAGCTGAGTGAGGATGAATAGCTGGAGTCACACTTACAACATAAGGGGCAGAAGGTGAGATGCCTCGGAGGATGGATGAGGATGATGAGGAGGAAAAGGAGTAGGGGGACGAGGATGAGGTCGGGGAAAATGATGTTCATGATGATGACAACGGGGGTTGTGATGATGATGATGATGATGATGATGATGATGATGATGATGATGATGATGATGACGGTACTGATGGTGATTGTGATGGTGATGACACTGATGACGATGGCAAGGATGATTCTGCAATTGTTGATGTTGATGATGATGTTGATGTAAATAATGCTAATTCTGAGGGTAATGATGCTGAGTTGACGACGATCACGATGATGCTGATG